CCAGAGGTCTCGGCTTCATAGCTCCATGGACGCACCAAAGGGATATTGGGTAGGGAGGATTAAATTGAAAAAGAAAACAGAAGAAAGAAAATGGAAAGATTGTATTGCTCAGTGAGCAAAAGAATAAGTTGAGTATTGATGTGAACGCTGTTGGACTTTTGAATTCAAGAGGAGACTGTCTGTGAGGAGAGATTACATGTATGTCCAAGCAGGGTAGGGCACTGTACCCTCTTACTCGCGTATGCTATGAGTGGCCCCGTGCCAGTTCGTTCTGAGGAGATGGTGATAAGCTGCTGTCTTGAACTTTTGGATGTTCTTTGGGTGAAATGGGTTGGGAATGATAGAGGTAGGCAGCTGGTTCCAAATTGGAATGACGGAGTGGGGAAAGGCTCGGCTCACATTGTTCCGGGAATTGGCAGGTAGTAAACGAAAGGACCATGAAACTTCAAGTTACGCTATAATGTCCACTAACACCACCAGTTACTAAACAATCAGCTCATGCATTAACATTGCACGACACTGACCGCCGGTAATGACGTATCAATTAGAACCTTCCTAGTTCGAATGCTTTTAGGGTGCGCATCCAAGATGTGCTAGAGCTGTTAGCCGGTTAGTTGTAGAGCGTCAGTACCGTCGGTCAGTGTCGTGCAGTGTCGTGCAAAGCTGTCGCATGAGCTAATTGTTTAGTAACTTGTGGTGTTAGTGGACATTATAGCGTAACTTGCAGTTTCTTGGTCCTTTTTTCTTTACTATGAATTATTCTTGGCTCTCCATCCAAGCCCATTCTTGCACACCTGATGAGCCGTCCTCATCTATACGGTGAAACCATCGTCGTGTGAAACTGCTGCTTATTGTCCATCTAAATTGGCATGGTCCAAGTACAGTGCTGTTTTACTGAGGCGTTCGGTTTTGCATGTTTCTTGTTCGAATTCCTTTCTCTTCCACTATTCTTCGCATCTTTGAGCCACACAAGTTGTGTTGAATGTTGTTTTGCGTCCTTGAATCGTGGTTTGACCGTATTGTCCAGTGGTCTTGCCAATTTCGTCATCGACATGCATGAGCATGCGCCAACGTCCTTCACAGCTAAGACTTTCAGCTCGTGCTTGTCTTGGCTGCGCTCATCTTCCCCTCCTCATGTTATTTCTATAACTTAGAACCTTCAAAGCTGGAAGGCGGTTGGAGTGCGCATCCAAGATGTGTTAGACCTGTGAGCCAGTTAATTGTAGAACATCAGTACCGTCGGTCAGTGTCGTGCAATGTTATCGCATGAGCTAAATGTAATTGGTTAGGAACTGGTGGTGTTAGTGGACATTATAGCGTAATTGTAGTTTCTTGGTCTTTTCTTTTATTATAAATTTCTCCTTGGCTCTCCATCCGAGTCCATTACTGTGTTTCACGGGTAATACTGCACAAGCATGCAAAACACCTGTGTCTGAACATGTCACATGACTGTACATGCAATATGCATGCATGCTTGCTCTCTCAAACTAGTACCAATCTGATCTCCTATCTAAGGTGGATCTACACGCAGAGCACACGATTTTCGCCTGAGTTGCGATACAATGCGTTTTGCACAACACGATAGACCAATATAGTGTCCAAACTGTATCGTGTGGACCCTTGTACATACCTGGAAGAAGTAGGTTACACAGACGTAAACAATCTCCTACTTCATGAGTATACCTACGTCCCCAATCCATGCCAGCCGCTCATTCCCTAGATTATATTCTCCTTTTTCCGGTTGGACCCTTGATATTCTCAACACACTTGGGTAATACCAAATCGCTTAGAAGTCTAATAAACCTTTGTCACTGGATTCTCTCTGTCCCATCTTGACTGCACAATGACACATGTCACCACAATACGCCATGTTGAATTTTAGAAAAAATATAAGTAAGGTAAAGAAGGGCTGCATCCATTTGTTCTGCCCAGCTTTCGCCACGTCCATCACAAAGGGATCGCGTATAGAACTAGCAAACACTAAAAACATAGCGTAGAAACGGACGATAAAACGGGAAGCATTTTTGAATTAATTGTGAAAATATTGGCCGATTTGGGGACGGCAAAGCAAGCCAATGAAAGGAAGATTGCGACAAGAGTAGGTGATGGGTAAATGGTAAATAGAGGCATTACAGCAGAATATTCAAATACTCCTTCGCAGGGATAGCGCAGAACGTTGTGCTTGCCAATCTACATGTATGTCCTATACACATTGAACATCACCACCAGCCGCAACGAGAAATACCGAGCTTACTTAAAATGGGACTAAATGAAATCCTGCGAAGCCAACTTGGGCCTAGTCCGCAATCGCTCAAACTAGACACATAATTATTACACCATGTCATCGCAAGTTTGTTGGGAAGTGATTTTACTTACCCGCGTTGTCCTGTAGAGCATCAAGATGCTGAAGGACGTTCATCATGACCTGCTTTAGCACTTCACTCTGCTCTTCCTGGCCTTGCACATGCGATAGGCGATCATTTAGTACATTGCGGATAGACGCCACCACGTCGTTGGCACCGGAGCTCTGGACACTGTCGCGAGAGGCGTGTTCCTCGACGAGGTTAGCCGATTCTGGCTGCATGTCTTGGGTACGGTCCTCTGGATGCGGGTCTTGTGGCAGGTGTTCTTGATGTGGGTCTTGTGGCAGTGCCGTTGGCTCTTCTGGCATCAAGCGGTTACTGATAGCTTGTTGTACGTCCATAGGTAGGTCTTCCCAGCTGTCGCCCTGATGTACGATATCGTCACCGTACATGGAATTTGGATCGGACGCTGCGTCTCCGATGTGCATGTCCATATCTTCTGGATGCTGATATGCCGGCAGGTGATCTGGATCCATCATCTCATTCACTATAGGTTCACTGAAGATATCACCTAGAATGTCTCCAACTATTTCCTCAGGCTGACTCTCTTCTACATGGCTTGGTTCCTCAGGCTGTGACGGGTGCAGCGCATTCGCGTCGAATCCAAGCTGTGTCAGTGTTTCGAAGGTTTCTTGGCGGACTAGTTCCCTTATGTCTATGTCTTCTGGTGAGGAGTTTGGACCGTTCCCGACCAGTGACGAAGCGGCTAGGCGACTGTGGAGGTCGTCCATTGCCTCGTGCAAGGCATCGTGCGGCGGATTGCTAGATCCCTGCAATGGCATGGATAGTCCAGTAGCCAGCAGACTACACAGGAGAACGAATGAGAACACCATCTTTGCTGGACGGGTTTAGAGAGAGAAATATACTAACAGACCAGCGGGGCTACAAGAAAGGCAATGAGGCAAACTACAGCCAGATGCAGTTTATGATTATGATTTACTAAACGTGCAGAAGCGCTGTGCTGTTGCCGACCAGTTTGGAATGGGAACCTCGTGCCATTGTACGTATTGCTCTCCTTTGGAAATCATGACGTGTTTGGTTTCCCTCCTGTTGGGATTGAACAATTCACATCCGAAATATCCTCTTGACCCGCTGTGTGCTCCAGCCCTAGAGGTGCATGTTGCGTGTTTTCTTTGTTTGGGTGCGTGTTTTTGGCCGTGACGCCGAGACCTCAGGTCGGCAGAGTCATCAATGCCCCACCATCACTGCTGCGTCTGGGCACAGCGCCTGCTCATTACTTGTCAGTTTGTTTTAGTCTCCGTACCATTGACTTTCCTTATTCTTTTCGAGCTGGTTATGTGAACATAATAAAAATATATATAAAAAAATAAAAATACATTGCAGACATACTAAAACTGAGAGATGTTCTGAGAATTTCCTATCAGCATATCCAGGGTGTTTGTACAAGTACATGTACATGTACATGTACGTGCCAACTGCGAACCTCCACGTACAAGAGTCATGTTGGTTGAGCGCTTACGTGTGTCGTTGTGCATTATAATGTCATTAGTGTCGGGTTGGCATCATGTTTACACTTTCGAAAAACAGTGGTCAGAAAAATTTGACGGATACTGAGAGTAAATGTACATGTGTTATGACTTGCACTCCGAAGCTGAGACGAGCTCGGCCATTTTGAAAATAATTTGAAACTGCCCACCTCTCCGCACTTGGCCCACATTGTATTTGTGGATTCTCCACAGGCCTTAGCCTAAATCGAGGGAACCTCAGTTCACCACACCATTCCGCTACTTTTTCACTGTAAATAGAATCATTCCTTTTCTGCTATGCATTCGTAAACTACCTCCACTGAGGAACTCTCAGTAGGCGAACCAGCTGTCCCTAGGATACGGATCTATCCACGACCGAACTTCCTCGCTATGGTGTGATGAATGTGGGACAAAATCACGGTGTGGAGAGTTGGACAGTTTCAATTTTTTTTAATCTACTACAACTATTAGCAACGAAATCCATTGAGAGCGGATTTATTCACAATTGCGTCCTTGCATCATGGTTTGACCGTAATGTCCAGTGGTCTTGCCAGTATCGTCATCGACATGCATGAACATCCGCCATCGTCCTTCACAGCTGAGGCTTTCAGCTCGTGCTAGTCTTGGTTGGCGCTCACCTTTCCCTCCTCTATAACTTAGAAACTTGACAAGTTGGAAGGCTGTTGGAGTGCGCAACAAAGATGTGCCAGAGCTGTTAGCCAGTGAGTTGTGGAACGTCAATACCGTCGGTCGGTGTCGTGCAATGTAACGTGTTATCGCATGAGCTGATTGTTTAGAAACTGGTGGTGTCAGTGGATATTATAGCGTACTAGTAACTTGCAGTTTCTTGTACTTTTCTCTTAACTAGAAACACGGTAAGCTAACATAAAAATTAAAGTTCGCAAATCCGCCTTCCCACTACCTATAACATTGTGTTGAGAAACACAATCAGAAGCATAAACAGAAAGTTTTATTCGACTGAAGCCATAAAGTAAAACTCGCACCTGATGCTTTAGTTCGCTAGAGTGACCTAACGCACTCTATGCGCTAGTTTCCTAGTTCATCCTCAGCGCTAAAACTTACAGAAGAGCTAGGCATCGATCCATGATGTACTTTCCTCACTTTTAAGAATCGTCAATCGAGAAACGCTGTCGAGCTGGTGTACCTAGCGCTAAGAGCCACATTGGTAGACTGGAGTGTTTGCTCTTTTCCCACTCAAAACAACACCCGAGGACTGTATGGAAGAAGGTGTTAAAAGTATCCATAATAGCGCTGAATTTCTGAAGAAAGATGCGATCTTGTAGAAAAGTTGTTTGCGAATGGACATGGCGGGGTTTGTATAATAATTATTGCTGTGATTGCTTGCAGTAAAGCTTTGGAATCCCGTCAAGGCTCTGTGCCGATCTCTTTCATTTTCTGCACGTCTTAGCCACTGGGTGACTGGACCTGTGGGTATCAGTAGACTGAACGGACAAGTGCCAATAAACGAAACAATGAAGCGGCACATGTACTTGTACTACTACTACGTTGTTCTTGCTCGGGTGCAGTTCGCTCCGCATCTACTCCGCCGGAGTAGATAGTTCTGCATCACATGACGTCCTGTGGAGGTGAAGTACGCGGCACTTCGTCAACGCGGAGTGAGTTGATGAAGCGGTTTTCGGAACCGGCGAGCACTAGCGCAAGCAGGTAAGAACGTTTACCATCTTTTTCAACTAGTGAATATCAACGGACTACAAAGATTACACAGCACTGAAGCAAACAAATCGCATTCCGCTATTACTCGGAGTTACTCTGAGTTTTCACACGAAACTCCGAGTAACAGCGGAAAGAGATTATTGGCTTCATTGTTGTGTAATATTTGTATTACTGGCTGTGTCCACTGGACATGGAGCAGTGTAAGCAGCCTGTGCAACTTAGACAACTGTCTATCAACGGACTAGTTAGTAATGACTATCTAAATGTACAGCGAGTACCTGTTCTTTTGGAGCAATGTTTTGTCCTATCACTCTCCAAAGTCACTACATGTAGTTTATTCTTCTACCGCTTGTCGTCCATTATCGGCCTTACTACGGTTAGGCCCCCGTGTAATAAGCCGGCATTTTTTGGAGCATTTTCGGTACAATCCGGGGACCCAGCACTTTGAGCTCGTGATGCAGCATTTTGGGGGAAACGGAGCACTTGGCCGTTGTGTATCAAAATAATTGAGAGAAGAAAAACTTCCCAAACAAGAACGTCACTTCCGCATTCCGTGGGTTAGCTTCTTGTTGAGTAGTTTATGAATTGAAAATAATCATGATAATGGTTTTGATCAAGGAGTCGTAAAATACCGGTATTTTCTGACTCCCTGGTTTTGAGTCTTTTGACGGCGTGTGCTGAGGATTACAAAAAGTGAGCATTTTCCGAGCATTTTCGGCAAGGTTTGGGAGCATTTTCGGCAAGGTTTACGAGAATTTCCCAAAAGCATTTTCGGCAAAGTTTCGGGCATATTCCATCGGGCCCTAACTACGGTACTGTACTAGAACAGGGCGCAGAACAGATGTACATGTACATGTACAGTGAAACCTGTCTAAGACGACCGCTCAAGGGATCTTCAAAGTGTGGTCTCTGTTACCAGGTGGTCTCTTTATCCCTTGCCATTTGACTGGAAATAGCATCCCTTGGTCCTTGCTGCAGTGGTCTTCTAGGGCAGGTGGTCGCCTTGACAGGATTTACTGTATAGTGTAGGTCTATTTTTTTTACATGAACGCGAGTACTGAATTCATTTCCACGTGAAACTGGAGAACTGAACAGGTAGACTAAGTGAAGTGGCAGGCATCTAGATGTATTAAAAACGCTTTAGTTCACTATATTTAGCGAGCACCTTTGTACTAATAGCTACATGTACATGTATGAACAAAATTAAAATGGCGGTCATGTCAAACAACAAAGCAGCAAAGGTTTAGTTCCAGAACACCTTCGAAGCTTTTTTTTGGACATGAGCGCCAGTTTAATTTTTTGTTCTTAGCTATTTTTACGGTTATTATCTCCCCTTCCACCTTGGTCTTAGTTTTTTTTTGTTTTTTGTTTTTTTTATGTTTATTTGAATTCTGATAGCTCAACAGTACAGAAGTACAACTACAAAGAGTACCGAATAGAAGGCCCCGAGAACGGGAAACCAAAAAAACAGTTCCAAATAATGTGTTCTAGAAGGATGAATGTATTTGGGGACATCTGCCATATGCTATTCTGGTCTGTGGGGAAAGTGAATAGTTCTAGGAAGTTCAACTCGGATGGTGAGCCAATTAAATTATGGTGAAAAAGGAGAAGGAAAACCTTGTCAGTTTTGTGTCATTTTTTCGCATTCGCTGACCGTGTAGGATCTGATTGCGTTGGTGGACAGTTATTCATAACTCGTAACATGTTTTCCTTCTCCTTTTTCACCATAGTTCTAGGAAAGCGTTTCATAGCTTCTAGACCACGCTCAAACTGCGTGAAGCACAAACGTGTTGTAACCAGTTTTTCCATTGCGGTATGCGACAGTTGAGTATGGAGCAAAGCAGCACATGCGTACTGTGATCGCTGATAAAACTACACAAAGGAAAAAGCAGTTGTATGAAAGTAAAAAAGAGTAAAATATCGTGTCCGTTCCGGAAGGGAACTCACTACGGACGCTAACATCCTGTAAACCTGCATGGAAGAGTCGTTGGTAATAACAAGGATAAAAATGCACCAGGACCTCTAGATGACTTCCTCGTGATTATCTTGGGCTAGTTATAGGAGAGGTATTGGATGGGATTATTAGCAGAGAAGACACAGATTACTGGCCTTATGTAGATTATGAGAGGGTATTCTGCAAACTTGAAGCTGTTTGCACACGTTTTGTAAACAAAGTAAAAGAACAAGAGTAAAATTGGTTCTTGAAAACCATTTCTTGAGTCCTGATGATGGTGGTGAAGAGTTTACAAACTGTTATTTTCTTGCCGTAAACATGAGAACATCAAAAAGAAAAGTTGACGTGCAAGAGGCGCGGAAGTTATGGCCAGTCAATGCTTTCAGTTCGTGATTAGAAGGATCCATCAATCCTCATTATCCTATGTTTACCCAACGAACGAGAACAGTGACAAGCAAATTGAACATGATCAGCCAAAAACCATTCTCAAGAGACCTGCAGTCTGCTGTCATGTTATACCATTACGCAACCATTCCTAATGACTACTATCAACAAATTCATCCACTCTGCAGTTATTCTCAATGCATGGCTGCATCAAAAAAGTTCACAAATCCTTTCATACTCCATGCTGAGTTCATACATGGTGGCATCTAGTGTCGGCTGAAGGGAAAATATCAAGCGGTGGGAGATGGGAGAGGATGTCTGGGCGCATACTTAACTCTCCACTCTCCATACGTCTGCACACACCAATAACTTAATAGTGGATTACATGTATTACCTTAGATCGCTCAGTTCGTCAGGCGTGAGATGAGGAACATTCAGCGCTTGAAGATATCTGCAAACAGACAATCAGTTGTAAACATTACGATTTCAGTAGGGAAGAATTGCATCATATTCATCGCTTTTGACTTTGCGTTAACCACAACATCAAGACAACTTTTAGGACATTCATGTTAAAAAGTTCATGTTGAACGAATATAGGCACCCTACGACAAGCATAAAAAAGTGAGCTAATTCGTACTGACACTTACATTGGATTCTTAGAAACGATGCATGCAGCAGGATTTCACATATGGAACGATTTTTTCAATATGGCACCTTACAGAAGAGAGACATTTGAGATGAACTGCAGCTCCTGTGTATCTTGAAGATGTATTTCCGCAATATATTATAATATACTCTCTCTCTTCATTATTATTAGCTAAAAGAAAGAGTTTTGACTTTTGAGAAAGTATGATTATACGCGTTGAGCGTGTGACGTGAGAATCATTTTATCCACGCTTACCGTCAGAAGAGTCTGAGTCAGAGTCGCTACGCTTGGCGATATCTATCAAACATGAAGTGTACAAGTACATAGTGTAGAACGAAGGCTATTAGGGGTGAATGATCGAAAGCTACAATCATCTAGCGTGTGGTTTTGTACCCAGAGCTCGGGTGTAGGTGCCTTTTCCGTATTTAGAGAGGTACATGTACATGTCTATCACGTACAGATCGTGATCCATGTTTAAACGTATGGATGCCAAATGCGTGAGTTAAGAAAACGTCCTTAGTACATTCAAAACATTCTTGAACTATTTTGAAGTATACGAAGCAAATTTCTTACCATCCGATGAATCGGAATCAGAGGCGCTGCGCTTGACGATATCTGCAACGCAATAAAAATAATAGAAGTGGTTATGTTACCAACTACTTCAAAAAGAAGAAGCCACTGATCACGACGAGTTTTATTTGAAGTTGCAGATGCAGAATTGTGAGCACCTCGAGCAAGTTTTCATCCTTTCAACAATCAGGATGGCTTTGTGTTCATAACCCGCTACTTGAAATCAGGTCGCTAACCTTTGGTAAAGGCGGCTCAACGATTCTCTGTTGAGTACTAGCAACTAGATAACATACTGAAATAACAAGGTTTTATTGTCATGGAATGCTTACATAGTGACGTAACAAGGACTGGGGTCAATGCGTGGGCCAGGTGTGGACTACATGTACTAGTATACCCACGTTGGAAAAATAGAACTTCGCCAAGATGAGTGTTTGAGAGCTAGATGAAGGATACAGATTACACCAGTTGTTCAGGGTTTATCTGCTTTCAATTACCACATGGCCTCCATGCCACTTTCTGGGTTAACCTTGTGTTGGATTCTAGGCTTGGTCGGAGGAATATAAAAAGCCAGTTCTTTGAGTAGTGGTGTAGCCAGACCTCAGCGAACATTACCACTCTATCGCCCGCCATTGGGTTCCATGGTGAAGGAACAACTATTTTGAGGATATCACGTAAAGTGTTAGGCTTACCATCCGAAGAGTCCGATTCGCTTCTTTTCGCGAAATCTACAAAATAAAACACTCAGGATATACAATATTCCTTGGTCTTTGGACCTTTTTCTTTTCTATAAATAAGCAATAATTTATAGTTCGCTTAGACGCGTTTCCGACGCCAAGACAGGAAGCGGTACTTTCACAACCCAAAAAGATCAATTCCGGATACTGCTATTCCTGGCAGACCTCACCGAACATTACCACACTATCGCCCGCCATTGGGTTCCATGATGAAGCAACAATTATTTTGAGGATATCATGTAAGGTGTTAGGCTTACCATCCGAAGAGTCCGATTCGCTTCTTTTCGCGATATCTACAAAATAAAACACACAGGATAAACAATATTCCTTGGTCCTTAATAAGCAATATAGTTCGCTTAGAAGCGCTTTCGACGCCAAGACAGGAAGCGGTACTTTCACGAACCAAAAAGATCAATTCCGGATACTGCTATTCCTGGCAGATCATAAAAATAATTGTATCACTTTGACTATCCAATCAAGGACATACCATCTGAGGAGTCACTGGAGTCGGACTCACTGGAGTCTGAGGCACTGCGCTTGGCAACATCTGCAGAAATGAAGGTAGTTGGGAGAGAATGGGTCGAAGGTTTATACGGATTTGTATATCAAGCTAAGATATTATGCCTTCACAATCGAACAACAAGGGCAAGGCTATTTTGGCGCTAATTTGAGTGATGCACTCATAAAGTAATTATTTGAAAAATATTATTACTCCAGGCAATGCTATAGCCACTGATCATTCCAACTCAACTTGAATTCCATGCTGTTGCTGAATTATATTCTTGCCGGTAGAGCAAGCGAATAATTCTTAACACATTCTTCAAATATCAATTCCGACGCTGCAATTTCTGGCAGACCATTATTGTCTAGATGATCACTCTGACTATCTAGTCTTGGACATACCATCTGAAGAGTCACTTGAGTCTGAGGCACTGCGCTTGGCAATATCTGCACAAGTAATGGTAGTTTGGAGAGAATGGGATTAAGGTATGTACGTAAAGGAATAGAAAGCCAAGAGATCTGCCTTCACAATCGTTTCGTCATGAAATCGAAGAATAAAATGGGGTTGATCAACTGACAACTTTATCCAGTTGGTATTCACAATCTGCGTATACGCTGCATTAAAATTCCCATCGTTAGTACAGAAGGCGCTGGAAGCAACACAGACTTGCCTTGTCTTTGAAATCAGAATTCTAGTATTGCAATAGGCTACTGTGTTTCCGGGCCGCTAGTGAAAATTACGAGGGATACAGGTGGGATACAGGTGGGATACAGGTGGCCCTTTTCCTTCAATAAAGTTCATGTAGTAAGTACGTTTTTCTAATTGTCCGCAAATTCCTACGCAGCCACTTACACATTTAGGAAACTTCACTTCTCAACTTCAAACTCCAACAACGGTCTCTTCACCGCGATTCAAATTCTGTGTGATTTAAATTTGAATTTGAATCGCAGTATTATTATATTAAAAGAGACCGTTTTTGGAGTTTGGAGTTGAGAAGTGAATTTTCCTAAAGGTCGTAAGTAAGTAAGTACATGTATTAAGCCTAATCATGAACTAGGCAACTTAAATTCGGTGTGATTTAAATTTGAATTTGAATCGCAGTAAGAGAAGTGAATTTTCCTAAATGTCGTAAGTAAGTACTTGAATGAAGTAAGCCTCGTGACTTCATCAAAATAATAATATGAACTTTGTAACGTTGGTGTGTCCTTTGCACTCTATTATTTACGTTCTGATCTTACCGTCGGAAGAGTCCGAGTCTGAGTTGCTCCGCTTGGCGATATCTAAAAAACACAATAAGGCCAGCTTCAAAATTAATACTCCAGGCACTGCAGTAGATACTGACCGATCCAAAAATATCTTGAATACTATGATGTTGCTCAGTTCTATTCTTGCCTAGAAAGCAAAAAAATTAGAAATAGTACTGAAGTACATTCTTCAAAATTCAGTTCCGGATACTGCAATTTCTGAGTATCCAATCTTTCGCACTTATCCAATCTTGGACATACCATCTGAGGAGTCATTGGAGTCGGACTCGCTGGAGTCTGAGGCACTGCGTTTGGCAACATCTGTAGAAAAAATGGTAGTTGGGAGAGAATGGGTCTAAGGTAGATACGGAAATGAATATTAACCTAAGAGATATGCCTTCACAATCGTTTCGTTGTGCGATCAAAGATTCCACCGTTAAAATGAAGAATTACGAATAGTGATAGAAAAGGGGGTTGTTCAACTGGCAACTGCTCTATTCAGTTGCTATTCAGTTCCTATTCAATTTCTTCTATTGTGAGAATTATAATTATTAACGCTTCGGGACAGTCACCCATCGTCATAGCAGCAGGCGATGGACGCACCACAGATTTGCCTTGTCTTTGAAAAGAGAATATTAACATTACTATTGGCTACGTTGTCTACGGGCCGCTTGTTGTAATATTGGTGTGCATATTGCACTCTATATGTGTTAAAAATATCATCGCACGCGAGGAATGCATCTCGGAAGGTGATCTCACCGTCAGAAGAGTCCGAGTCTGAGTTGCTTCGCTTGGCGATATCTAAAAAAAACAGTAAAACCAGCTTTAGAATGTATACTGCACTGCAGCAGGTACTGAAAATTCCAACACAACTTGAATACTATGATGTTGCTCGGTTCTAGTCTTGCCGGAAAAGCAAAAAAAATAAAAAAAATTGTACCAAATGTCAATTCCGGATACTGCAATTTCTGAGTATCCAATCTTTCGCACTTATCCAATCTTGCACATACCATCTGAGGAGTCATTGGAGTCGGACTCGCTGGAGTCTGAGGCACTGCGCTTGGCAACATCTGCAGCAAATAATGATAGTTGAGAGAGAATGGGTCTAAGGTATATACGGAAATGAATACCAAGCTAAGAGATATGCCTTCACAATCGTTTCGTTGTGCATTCAAAGAATCCACAGTTACTGACGCAAAACACTATGTGTTTTGTTCATCATTGTGTCAGAAGGTTGAACCCATAAAGAAAGGAAGATGGGTGAGTTTTTTGTCGTCTCCTGAACTGTATTTTTCACTTTCAGACGTATTGGCAGCTTTCACGCAACGTGTTGGACCCAAAACAGACTTGACTGGTCTTTGAAATGAGAATATTTATATTGCTATCGGCTACTGTGTCTCCGGGTCGCTCTTGACCGTTAATAGCGATACAGGTCGCCTTTTTCGTGCATTACAGAACATTTTGTATGCTTACATACATGTACTTTATAAATATATTATTATTCTCGCAAAAATACTGAGTTGCAAAGGCAAAGCATGAGCCACATACTCCTGCGGAGGGGCAGGGGCAAGATTGATCGGTACCGGCCCCGCTACTACCAGTACCATCTCAGCGGCACCATCGGGCCATAAATCACCTGAATATTACAGCAGATCAATACAGCCACAAACCAACGCTGCTATGGTATGTGGAGGGCGAACGTTCGAATCTCTCAATCTTGTAAATGGAAGACAGTATCATTTTCTTACCGTCGGATGAGTCCGAGTCGGAGTTGCTACGCTTGGCAATATCTACAGATCATAGCATGAAAAGAATGTGCATTGTCACCAGCAGCAGCAGCTCATTATTGTATAGTCCGTACCACTTGGTCACATGCGACCACCCGGTCAATATTATTGTAGTTCAAAGAGATCATAAAGCATTGCACATCAGCACCTTGCACCTGACATGGACTTGTCATTTCTTCAGTGTAATGCGATGATTATCCAGTTTACAATGTACAGTATACAATGTGACATGACGTCACGGGTACCCAAACATGTAACTGCATTGTAGTTGCATGTACATGTTTGGGTACCCGTCACGTGACAGCTACACAACCTAGTACATTTTAGATCACCTCATGCATTACCATCGGATGAGTCAGTGGAGACACTGGACGCAGAGTCGGAGGCGCTACGCTTGGCGATATCTGCGGAAATGTTAACGAAAGATATTCAGAAGGAGAGAGAAGCATGGACAGAGACAAAAAGACAATGTGAGACAGATACAGAAAGGCAATGCGAGACAGAGAGGAGTATTAGTGAGAGAAGAACGTCATATGAAGCTCCAAACGTGACATGTGCAGCACTACTAGTTCTTCCGATATTGCTTCACTGAATCAGTCCGCAATATCACGAGTGAATAGTGCCCAGTGTGTGCGACGAAAACACCAGAGAGAACAGTGGTCGTACTAAGAAGCAAAAACGCCATGAAAACTTCAGAAAAGTCTCAGTATGACCAACAGGCCATGAAGCACCTGAATACTGATTGAAAATGACCAATACGAAAAAATATAAAAATAATAATAAAAACGTGTAGGTGATACCGTTTAAGGTGAGCAAAAACTTTCTCTACTGTCAGCCTTCTTTATAACAGAAGACGGGATCGTTTTCTTACCGTCCGATGAGTCGGAGTCGGAATTGCTACGCTTGGCAATATCTACAGAACATAGGATAGAAAAGGAGTGCATTAAAACCTGCATCAGCGGCAACCCATTAATACTGTGTAGTCCTTGGTCACATCCTTGGTCACATCCTTGGTCACATCCGACAACCCGGTCAGCAAAATGTTGTTCCAAGAGTAGATCTGTTTCTTCTTCTTTTTTTCATTATTTTTTATGAAAGTGCACATAGAATGGACGAGAACAACAACAACATCATCAAGAGAATATAGGGGACTACAAAGGGCGTGTAGGTACTATTGAGCTGTGCCGGTGAGGTGAAGTGCGCTCCCCATCTACATGGACATAGTACATTGTTTTTCAACATGTAGCATATGACATTGATCAGTCATTTCCTTATTCATTCTACAGTGTACAGTGTTATAGTTATCCGTAACGACTTTCATTACGTAATCCTGCAACCTATTTTTAATTAATCTGTCACGCTCGTCTCCTGCTCTCTATATATGCATGTAAGGCTGCTGGTCCACTATTCAGATTATCTCTCTGTGCGGGTATGTGCCCGTGTCGTGTGCGTGATGTGTGTCTGTGCCTGTGCGCACCTGTGCGTGTGTATACGTGTGTGTGGGTGCCTGTACGCCTGTCTTACTATCTGGCCATGCGTCTATGTCATTTTTCCTACCTATCCACTTTTTATTTTTTATTTTTACATTCTCTCTCCCTCCAAGTGTGTGCATATTATGTGTGAAAATGTGCATTTACCTGCCAGCTGTGCATGTCTGGCTGTTTCTGTGTCTGTGTGTTTGCTTTTACGTATTATTGCTAACTTCGTAACTGTGTGCCAGCCTGCTTGCATATATCTTATTTTTAGCCTCTATTTTCTTACACAAGGCAGTGTTGTTTGCTTATCATTCAAGAGTGTCCCACCTAGTATTCTTCCTCTCCTCATAATCTGATTTTTATGATACTATATTAGTGCATCTAGCCCACTAGAAGCCCGGACCTCAGGTTGACCGAGTGCAATAGGTGTCCCCACCATTTTGCTTCCCAATTCTAACCGGATCGGAGTCCATGGGCACTTCTAAAAAAGACTATTACCATCGGATGAGTCGCTGGAGTCACTGGAGTCAGAGTCGGAGTTGCTGCGCTTGGCAATATCTACAGGAATTTTAGAGAAAGAGTTCCAGAAAGGAAGAGAGGGAGAGAGAGCAAGAGAAAAAGGATAGGGAAAAAAGAATGTTTGATATATGAAGGTTAGCTAAGTGTCGTACGAAACTCTGAAAGTAATCTTGTGAGGCAACAAAAGTTCTTTCTGTATTGCCTCACCGAATCCGTCCGTAAACTCGCGAGTGAACCATGCACAGTGTCATTTGGGGAATCATTAGCCACGAGAACAATGGTCGAATGCTTGGAAGATCATGAAAGTCTCGGCACCTGGGTATTGATTGTGAATGAGCAATACAACTCAAATGAAACGCTGATTTAGTGTGGAGAAGAAAGAACTATCGCATCTCTCAATCTTGGTAACAGAAGACAGTGTCAATTTCTTACCGTCCGATGAGTCCGAGTCGGAATTGCTACGCTTGGCAATATCTACAGATCATAGGATAGAAGCAGAGTGCATTGAAACCAGCATCAGCAGCTCATTACTGTCTAGTCCGCCCCCAGTTGGTCACATGCGACCACCTGGTCAGCTACCAGTCAATGTACAGTGCTACAGTGCTGTAGTCCAAAGCTACATGTCAATGTACAGTGCTGTAGTCCAAAGCTACATGTCAATGTACAGTGCTGTAGTCCAAAGCTACATGTCAATGTACAGTGCTGTAGTCCAAAGCTACATGTCAATGTACAGTGCTGTAGTCCAAAGCTACATGTCAATGTACAGTGCTGTAGTCCACATGTCAATGTACAGTGCTGTAGTCCACATGTCAATGTACAGTGCTGTAGTCCAAAGCGAACAGTCTACCTTTGCACATCAACACCTGGCACGTGACATTGACCAGTCTTCATTTCCGTATTCTTTGCCTACACCACAGTTTACAGTGTAGTTAACTACAACATGTATGATTGAGTACCCGTAAAGTAATAGATACAGGTACATGTATACAACCTATCTCATAACCACATGAGAAATAAATAAATAAAATAAATGTTTGTATAAGCAACCAATCCTTGGATCTTATGTATATTAATCTTATATGATTACCATCGGATGAGTCACTGGAGTCGGAGGCGCTGCGCTTGGCAATATCTGCGGAAATGTTTAGAGAAAGAGATCCAGAAAAGAAAGAGATAATTATATCGAAAGAGATAGAAAAGAGAGATACTATGGGGGTGTCATACGAGACTCCGAAATGACCTATTCGGCAATACTAGTTCTTCTGGTATTACTTCCATTGAGCGTGTCCATGCAATCGTGTGTGTGCAGTGCACTATACCGCCAAGGACAACCTCAGAGACGACAACAATGGTCGGAATAAGTCCATGAAAGTCTCGGCGTCATCAGCAGGCCATGACGTACATGAACACTGATTAAAAATGATCAATATTGCTAAGTGATGGGAGGGCAACACTTTCTCTAATGTCAACCTTCAAAACAGAAGACAGGATCATTTTCTTACCATCCGATGAGTCCGAGTCCGAATTGCTGCGCTTGGCAATATCTACACATCATAGGATAGAAAGAGTGTGCATTGTAACCAGCAGCATCAGCTTATTACTAGTCCGTCCTACTTGGTCATCTGTGACCAACAGGTCAGCAAATTATAGTTCAAAGAGAACATGTTACATCGCACATTAACACCTGGCGCTTGACATTGGTCACTTCAGTATACTTCACCTCAAGTGTACAGTGTACAGTGCAGAGGTATGTATGAGTATCTTTCTGGTAAAATATCAACACTCATTCAATACCTATCTGGTACAATTAAATTTATTAGTTCAGTTCAGCGGTTTCCTTACATATTGATTCATGAATAGCTATAGAGTTTCTTTGGAATGCCCATACAAGAGGCCATTCATGATGAGTATCGCTATATATCTTATATCTTCTCAATCATTACCATCGGATGAGTCACTGGAGTCAGAGTCGGAGCTACTCCGCTTGGCGATATCTGCGGAAATGTTGGGGAAAGAGATTCAGAAAGAGAGAGAGGGAGATCGAGAGAGCGGATAGAGAAGAGAGAGATGAACGTCCCACGAAACCCCTGACTTGACCTATGCGGCAATACTAGTGCTTCCTATATTGCCTCCAATGAGCCTGTCCGTAAATTCGCGTGTGTACAGTGCACAATGGCATCAACGAAAACTTCAAACACGCGAACAATGGCCCAATGTTTGTTGCCTGATCTAAATCTGACCTGCCTTACCAGACAACAGTATTGCTATAAAGGTTTGTGGTTTTTCAATAAAAAAAATAAAAAATAAAAATGGGAGCAAGCAAAACACTTGAGAGGCCAAACCACCGAAGAGCGTGTGATTTCTTAATACCTTTTTGTATTACTTGGACTCGTAGACCAGATGGGCAGCGAATGGTGTGCACCATGATACATTATACACTTATGCTTAATAGACATTGTCAATTACCAGTACATTTACGCGCTGGGTGTTTCGATGCCTAACAGCATATTTGAAGTGCTGAAGGTGTTAACCCTTTGGAGCCCGTACATTAGAAATTTAGAATATTGACGGTATACCGTCGATGGACTAAAACGTTCGTAACTCACTCCACATTTGACGGGGCTCCACGATCGAAATATCAAGAAAGACGCTGAAGAGCTCAGCTTTCTAATGCAAAAATCGCCGCCGAAGAGCTACTACATGTACATGTATGTCGCGTTGCAGAGATAATATCTCTGCTATAATAGTGCTCGACATTTCAGTTACGGCAAAAGTCGAATTTTTTTCTCGTTGACTGGCCTGGAGTGAGAGATGGCTGATTGACTGGAGTGGAGCCTCTTAGTATTGAAGAAAGCAGATCTAAAACGTATTAGAAAGCGTTTTAGCTGGAAAGCAACATACCGTCACTGCTAGCGCTGTCAGATGACATACGCATAGCTACATCGCGAGCATTTTTGGCGGGAGCTGCGCAGTGAGCACACCAAATAATACAGGATTGTGAGAAACGTTTTGTAATGAATTTCCTAAATGTACTATAGGTAGTAGGCAGTGAAAGACATGACCGATATTCATAATAACTACGTGCAGGCGGTCAGTGAGGCCATGAGCATATCCAGACACCTACGTGTATGCTAATATTATTAATCATCGCTTCAATCAATCAATTTGAAAACCTTTTTAAAAAATTGAACAAGATGACCAAAAGTCTGAAATTTTCACATCTTTGTTACCTGCTTGCAGTGTACAGGCCAACATGGCTATCAGTACTGTGAGCAGAAGAATGTTGTGAGAAGCCATCTTGATGTTCTCGGTTGAGAGCCTGGAACAAATCAGAATTGTATCAACGGGTCAGCAAGAAATGACATTCTGTGTGCTTTTCGCCTCGATATCAGGGTATGCTTATTCTCAGTCCTATTACGTCTGTGCCTCCTCTCACATTCATTCATTTTATTATAACTGTACGTTCCTCAGAGATATCTTGGATAAAGTTCATACTATAAAGAGATATCTTGGATAAAGTTCATACTATAAAGAGGTTTGGCTGGCAATATCCCACAATGCGCTCAAAGACTCAGACCTATCTTCAGTTTGACAGATTCAGTTCAGAAATCACCAAACAACGAAACACAAGAAGACAAGGTTTTGCTAGCAAGCGTAACCTTACCTTGGCCAGGAATTGATTTTCTCGAGCGAAAGTTTTCGGGTACGAAGATTAGTGAAGACACCTGAGTCTAATGCTGGCCTTTTATATCTTCGTTTTGTATTGTTTGGTGTGTGACCAAGGGTATTTGTATAGCTTGTTGTGTAGAGTGTGTTAGTGTGCTGAACCACGACCTCCGCATTGTACATGTATAGTTCATATATTGACACTCTGTTCCTGTTGACACTGCATTCAGGCGCTGGCACGGCGATGGGTGAACCAACCGAGCAAGAGCTGAACTAGCCCAGCGGATGCCGGATGGCATCAGCGAACTGCGAAGGAAAGTTCCCGAACGGACTGAGGGACAGAACGACGACTGTTACCGTTGTACCTGTAAGCGTATCTGTGTTGCTTGCTACCCACTCAATGTGGGTAGTGTGAATATGAGGTGGAACAAGAATGCCAAACTGAACAGCCAGGTCTTGATCCTCTCAAGATCATGCTGGCGTGAATGGCGTATGCTAGTAGAAATACCTACATGCACATGTAGCATGACGTACGGCCAGGCTGTCACATCACGCCTGCTCGATTTGAATTGCCTTGAAGTAGCACTTGTGGCCAGGGCTGTTAGAGTTTACTGATTGGTGGACGGAGCGGTGCAACAAGAGAGAAGAAAATAGAATTTAGGAATTGCGCAATTTATTTTGAAGCACACGCACAACACTCACAACAGACAGCGATAGGTTGTGGTTGGCACAGGGAAGTGAGGGAGGAGAAACTAGAGCCTTTCAGTGCTGGTGTTGGGTGTGATACCCAAGGCTGGATGCATTGAAAATGCTCTTGAAGGTCAGCGAGGCTAGTTATGCTCCCTACTTTTTGTTGATTGATTATAGTGGAGTGTTGGTAAATTGATGAATGCGAATATCGTGAGAATTGTAATAATGGGAGGGAGATGTGGGGAAATGTGTCCACCACGAGGAGACAACTTGCAACAATTTGAGAACTAAGCAAGAAAGGAAAGCACAGCCAGAAAGGAAAGCACAGCAAGAATGGAAAGCACAGCCAGATCTTGGAAACTAACACTCGTTGCACTGTATCTAGACTACTAAACAGCTGGGTATGAGTGAGTGCGAGAACGTCACTAAAGTGGATCATACATGTATTGGCAGAGAATGGGGCCGCTAGCCGTACCAGAGTACCAGTGCTTAGTGCATGGAAGGTATGCAGAGTTCAGCGCGAAATGTACTAAGAGATTGGGTATGCGTTTCCAAATATTAACTATTTTTTCGTTCTGAGTACAAACAGTACAGCGCGTGTATGTTCCCCGCAACTGTGATTGCCTTTGCGTTTGGGCTTTCCTGTACGTACCGGCTATCAGAGCGCGTTGACATGGTTGATCCGCATGCCCACCCACACGCAATACAGTCAGCGTGGCTCAGGCTCAGAGATATCGCGACGCGACGGAAATCGCGACGGAAACAGAGGTTCTTCTGTGTTTTACTAGACTAGCCGGTATACCGAGCACTGAGCTCAGCCATGCGGCGCGCGATGCTTAGCCGTGTCCAGCGGCAGTACATGTACATGTACATGCGTTCTATGTATTGTGAGTGTCTAATCCTGTATGTTTGCACCTCGTTCACTCCACCTACGGGCTATACGTGTTTGCTGCATTCTTTAATGACACTTTTACAATATCATTAGCAACAGTATCACCACCACACCTGTACTGTACATTCACCTGGCATGCGTAGGCCCTGCGCTGTTCGACTGGCATTGAACGAGAACAGGAATGGGGAACCGGTTCAAATCGTACAGGTAAGAACGAGTTAATAATGCCTAATCTTTCCGTGCTGAATCCCCTGAAAGTGATGTTCAATTACGGCGCTACTGCTCTGAACCACTGGGAGACGTCCTATGCACTGTAATCGCTCCTAGCCTACTCCACTGTGTGTCTTGGAGCTTGATGACTGTGTCGTGATACCGTCCAACGTGGAGATTACAGGTTTGAATGATTAGATTCATCATTCCCCTGGATCGCTAGAACTGGCGCATAATTGATCTTTTCAATTAGCGGTTGCATGCATGATGCAAGAAACATACATGTACATGTGCTGTGGAACTACATGTGTCCTACAATTATAAGTCCGAGAAAATGTTTCACAAAGACTTCAACGACTTCGAAGCGGATGGCTGTCTATGTGGGTAGGAAAGGGGTTATCAGGGAGTGAATATGGAACTGAGTGCTTTGTGTAATGTTCACCTCATGTCTGCCGAAGCCAATATGAACACTGTCCAGGCATGCAAGGGTCCTGTAGTGCTGATGCGTTCGTTTAAGCAATTGCAGTACAGTATATGGGTGCATTTTCTATGGCCAGTGTGTGTGTACGGTAACACCACTGCAGCAATGGTGTACTGTGGGTTTTGTGTTTACATGCCAGCCATGCAGTACTGCCAAACGTCTGCAATACATGTCCTATTCAATTATGTCTCCGTCGAAGTAGATCGCAAAGTGTAGAGGAAAAAGAAAGCTGCTTCGCCTTAAAAGGTAACCTGAGTTGTCTTCGCTGACTCTAGAAGCTACAAAATTCCTTCACATCACCATACGTTGTGTCACATGTACCTAAGGCTAATAGTTGCATCAATTGATTGTAAACAACGAGGAATGATTCCGACTGACAATGTTATTTCGAGGGTATTGCGAAACGTCACCACTCCAAAAAGCCGCCACAAATCCAACAGGTGAGAACCAGACGATAATCGTATTGGTTTCCGTGATGCGTCATGCTCTTGTACCCAGTCATTGCTGCACAAAGTACAAGTACGGCAGTAGGCTATCCAGTTTTGAACCACCTCATAATGAATGAATGGACTACTGCTTCTCCAGTAGACCGCTATCTCCAGTGACAGCTGGTTGTCTTGTTTGTTTGTTTAGCCTTATTTTACTTCACCATAAGCACAGGCAAATTCTGCCTTCTCACTGGGCGTATTGCTGCAGCATTCGTAAAATAATGAAGAAAACTTCACTGATGTTGTGCGGCTGAGCTCCTCGGTAGTTATTGGGGTGCAGGTACTTTCCAACGTGGATTGAGGCCCACTTGAACTTTGTAGATTGATTCCTACTGTACAACACCGCCACCTGGGCACCCACGTCAGTCGCTGAGGCCCAACGGGACTCGTTTCATCGATGGCAGTTGCATTATCTCATCGATCAGGTGGCCGCACGCAATAGCCTGAATAAGCAATGTTGCTCTCTACAATTACAAGAGGTGCAAAGCACAACCCATAAGTGACTTTGTTCGATGGAGACTGCTTGGCCATTATACTGCGAATGCCTGATGGATGTCCTGCTATGGCGGCTATGATCAACTACTACCAGGTGAAGGAGTGTGGAGACGAGGGCCAAGAACTATTCTGCCTATCGTGCTATCCCGAGACCTGCAGAGAGTGGGGTGTGGGGGGGGGGGGGGACTCAAAACGATATCTGATCTCCTCTCCCTCCGCGAGATTGCACAGGGAAGAAGGGAGTGGGAGGAACTTTTCCACGATGTTTACGACTAAAACCAAACAATAGTGCTCCAGATCATATCACATTATTGATTGTCATACTAAGTAACTTTATGTAGTAATAATAATCGCCATCAAAACATTTTTTCCGCAATTCGTCTAATAAAGTACAGCCGATAACTACGAAGTCGAAAGCTACACACATGTACCTGTATTTATAGGTTAGTGCATGGCAGGGAGGGCCTTATGGCTTGTTAGTGCCCGACAGGTTAGCCTGAGGGCCGTAGCCCCGAGGGCTACCCTGAAGGGCACAAACAAGCCATAAGACCCTCCCTGCCATGCACTAACTATTTTAGAACGAGGTTACATGCATTATCTCACTTCCATCATGCTTGTGTACCATTATATTGGCTAGTTTGTGGTTTGTGTGGAGAGAGACTTGGTGAGGTATGAAAGAATATTTTCTTCTGGTAAGTTATGGTAACTCAGCACCACTTAGGACTACTAAAAGTAGAATATAAGCAAAGGAAATGCTGGGCTCTTATTGCGAGCTTCATTCTTATTCATAGCTTGTGGAGCTATTTAGGGGATTTGAGAGCCCCTTGTCGATACCTCTAATGACTTCGATCTTCGGTTTTTATAGGTTTCCGCAAGCTGTTGACAAAGGAAATTCGTACAGATGAAAGAATACGGGAGGCAAAAACCGTACACACTTCTGAAATGCGTAGCTTTTAGTAGTACACCGTACATTTTATGCAGAGTTCATTATCTGCACCGTACTATAATGCATACAGGGAGTTGTACGCACCAGTTTAGAGTATATTCAGCGGGCTTTAAACTAATCCAAGGCCCTCGACGCGTCATCAAGAGTAGTAAAATAACGATTGAGCGGGCTTTAAACTCTGATAAGGCCCTTGGCGGGAATGTCGCTGATTGGTCGTTTCCTGGACAACGAGACAGACCTCGTTCTAAAATACAATAATATTTCAAACAAAGGTTCGGGTGGAAAACAGTATTTTGCATGACATAATAATAGTAAGAACAAGGCAGACTCAAACATTCCAACATTCTGCATCTGGTGCGTTGCCAGTGTTGTAGTGAAAGTTCTGATACTGAAGATTTACATCTCGTGGAACTCTGATAGCCGCCGCCAAATCGTCAGTACAACCTCGGCGAAGCGTTCGCGTCAACTGTATACTCGCGTTGACGGAGCTCCGGGTGACCAAGCAGTCTAACAGCTGCAAGTCGCGACTTCCTCCAGTCTCTCCGGAGGCGTAGGTTCGAATCCCACCGCTGCCACCAATGTAATGGGTAGCCGAGTGGTAGGCGCGGTGAAATCAACAAGAATTACTTTTATTCTACTTTCAGGTACACACCTGAGATATAATTATTAGTGAAAGAAGAAACGGCAAAATAACTGACTTTCTCTCCGGTGCACACCTGGAGGTTGAATAGCTCGTTATTATCAAAATCTCATCTTCATCAAAACAGAAATGCGCAGCCGCTTTTATGCAGCAGACGCCGTACGCTTACATACGGAGATACACTAAATACACATCAGCCAAAGCTCCGTATTAGTTCCGTACTACTTCCGTATTGGTCGGGCAGGGATACTACAACACTGACCGTCAATGCTCTCTATTAATCCCTCGCTCCATTCCCTTATTCACTCTATATTTGATGAGAATCGGTCACTTTCCCGAAGGAGAGCGAGGAGAAACGTTACGTCTCCAAACGAGAAGTGAATAAAAATATTTTAAATAATATTTGAGTCCCCCTGGGCACTATGCTCCCTAAAGATCTTCGAAGGAGAATTGAAGAGACTTGTTGGCATCGCTTGGTGCGATGAATAGGCTCCGACGGATTATGCTCGCGAAATCCAGGAATTATGCTTCCATGGATTCTCGCATTATGCTCGTAAAATCCTCATATTATGCTTTGGCATCCGGTGATATACATGTACATGTATATTCACTTTGTTGTACTTATGGAGCCTCAAAGTTCGGAAAATTGTGCCTTTTTTCGTACTTGCAAGTTGCAAGTGGCCATAAGTACAACAAAATACATAGTAGTAGTAGTAGTAGTATTTATTATTTGACTAGGGGAGTCCCAACAGGCATGGCCTTGTTACAGGGAACCCTAGGTGAAGGTGAATCTTTGTGAGGTGAGCAAAAGTACCAGCAGATTGTGCCTGACGACAGTTTGGAGGAAGAGTGTTCCACCGACCTGCCGCCAGAAAAGACACTGAGCGCAGTCCATACCCAATATGTACAGTAGGTAATACTAAGGCAGCTGTATCCTGGGAACGAGTACGAGCATTTGTGTGCGGGCCATGTACATGTGTATCCCCATACCAAGGTGTCCATGCATGTAAGAGGTCAACATGGAAAAGAGAAAACAACACTTCTTCTATTCATTACTTGATTTCTTTTATACTTCAGTAAAAATATTACATGTATTTCATTGCCAAATTATTTTGAGCAACTACAACTACTGTATCAGCATAAGAAGTGCAACTACATGTACATGTAGCTCTGCGGACAACTGTGGCTTCAAGAATAGTCCAATCAATCGTGGGCTGACATGCTATGAAGAACACTATTCACTATTCAGACGCAAACTAGTTTGTTCTAAACATTTTTGGAAATGAGACCACGCATATGGCAGCGAGTTTCTATGGTTTTTGGATCCGCGCGTTTTTTACGCAACCTTCCACATCCGCGGACAGACACAGGCGGTACTACATGTCATATACCGTATCATCTCTAATAAGCACGGTCCTGTATTTTTTCAATGTACCTCCGCCCCGTGCTATTAACATGATTAATGGAGACGTTCCTTTATTGGAGACTGTTCCATTATTATTTTCAACCTCATTTCAGAGGCATGTTGCCATGCCAAATTCATGTATGACACACACATTTCAGGGTTTTTTTCGCCGGTACAGATAATGAATTTACGCAGTGTGCTTATAATGGAGACTGAGCACTTCATTTTTTCAATGCCGCCCCAAGGTGTTCTATTATTGGAGACGTGCTATTATTGGAGACTGTGCTTATATTAGAGATAATACGGTACAGCAGAAGATGTCACTCACTATTCTGCAGGTGCACTGGTGACTGGCGCATGCAAGTTCACGAGAAGGAAGCGGTAACTGGAATGCCAGCAGTATGAGAGGATGTGCATTCTGCGGCGGATCTCACCTGGACCTGAGCTGCACGAAATACACAACAGTAGCACAGCGGAAAGAATAACTGATTGAACAGAAGCTTTGCTTTGTGTGTTTGCGCACAGGTCACCGGTCAACTCAGTGCAAGGCCACCCGCAAGTGTAATGTGTGTTCTCGCATGGGGCACCATCATGTCACGATCTGCTCTGAATCCCAACAGAAATCTGACAGCAGTGCCAACATAGTAGCTGATCAGCCTGTGGCTGACGAGGTACCAGCATCCATGCCATTGGAGGGTGCGCTATGCACGTACCCTGTACCCTGTTTTTTTGTTGGCTTTTGGTACCGCCTCTGTAACTAATACTACTGCATAGGGTGCAAGGTGACCGTTGTCGGTTTTATTGTACTCCATTTATTATTACGCCGTGCATGCACTGAGTCTGTGCTGTACTGTGCATCCATAGGTGCCCGTTTGCGGTATCGCAAGGTGACACGCAAGGTTCATGTATTGTGTTGTCCGCTGCTATTTGAAGCTCTCGGAGTCGGAAGCGTTACCTCTGTTTCTCCTGTTCCTCCCTGCGCGGAGTCTGTAGATCTGGCTTGCAGTTGCTGTTACATGTACATGCATGTACATGCATGTTGGCAATTGCATGTGTTTTGGTTTTCAGTTGACACTCGGCTTCCAGCCCAGTGTCACGTGAACCCTGATTTTTTGAAGACTTTTATTATGTTGCCTGATGATTGCGTAAGCATGAAACTTAAAGTAGCAGCAAACAAGCCTTGATTGTCCTTGTTGTTCTGTAGTGAAGACTTTTATTATTAAATTTTATTTTACTATGAGCCTGTTTATAAACGTGATACAGGCTCAGAACACACTTTTCGTCTAGTTGGCATATCAGGGATATTTGGCGGAGCAGCTGGAGCAGCCCATATCCCCAATTATGACACGCGAGTAATAGTGAAATACGATTGGGGCTAGACTGACTGCGGTAATGTACAGCTAAAATCAAGCAGTCAGTTTGCCCTTAGCATGGCCTTGTCATCAGGGTGCCACATACATTTACATGGAAAGGCAACATGCCGGCTAATCTCCCTGAGTAATTGAGTGGTTATCAGCAGACGATGACGTTGTGTCAATGATGACCTGTCGATGCCCGACAGGAGCCTTGCGAGAAGAGTCCTTGGGCCCGAAGGGTAGGTAAATCCAACTTCCACAATCATGAAGTTTGCGGATGGCCGACATGTAGACATGGACAGATCGGGGCTGAAAAGTTCTGAACAGTTTGGCAGCAAAATAACACAAAGTAAAAAGTGATCACCTGGCAATAGATTGCAGGCATGCACTTGACAGAACTGGAAGTAACGGGTATCGGCGGAAAAATAATATTAAATATTTCCGGCTGGTGCCAGTGCTGCTAGCTGCAGCACGGAGTCCATCAACCGAGAGTTGGCTGATCTGGCTCAGCTGCTGCATCTTAAGCCCTTGATGTAACAGTATTTACATGACATAATAATAGTAAGAACAAGGCAGACTCACACATTCCAACATTCTGCATCTGGTGCGTTGCCAGTGTTGTAATGGAATTTCTGATACTGAAGATTTGCATCTCGTGGAACTCTGATAGCCGCCGCCAAATCGTCAGTACAACCTCGGCGAACCGTTCGCTTCAGCTGTATGCTCGCGTTGACGGAGCTCCGGGTGACCAAGCAGTCTAACAGCTGCCAGTCGCGACTTCCGTGAAACTGACCGTAAATGCTCTCTAATCCCTCACTCCATTCCCTTATTCACTCTATATTTGATGAAAATCGTTCACTCTCCCGAAGGAGAGCGAGGAGAAACGTTACGTCTCCAAACGAGAAGTGAATAAAAATATTAGTAATATTTGAGTTCCCCTGGTCAATATGCTCACTAAAGATCTTCGTAGGAGAATTGAAGGGACTTGTTGGCATCGCTTGGTGCCATGAATAGGCTCCAGTGGATTATGCTCGAGAAATCAAGGAATTAAGCTTTCATGGATTCTCGCATTATGCTCGTAAAATCCTCATATTATGCTTCCAAATTATGCCAATAATTAAGCCGGCATTATCCGCCGGTGCCTAGCGATGAAGGGTGGCAGGAAGGCAATTACATAGACTCTAATCTATCTATCCTGCATGTACATGTATTCTAGTGCGTCACGAACACGTGTATAAATGTATGGTATACATTTATCATACTATGCTCAATACAAAAATTTAATGTTAAAATGAACCTCCCATCCCACATGTTTCCGCGTGTACAATATCGACCCCATAATAGGGGCCCCACAACTCTTTTTCTCCTACACAATGATTTGACCTCACAAAATAATACGTTGTCCTCCCTAATACACAGACCTCACGTATTGACGTACAGTAATATTGACCTGTTCCATACACAATCAGTCACACTTCGACGGAGGTAAGCATGCGGTCTGACGCAATCACTATGTTATTGCTACAGAATGTTATGGTATTGGTGCAGGCATCATTATCACATGCAGATCAGACTAAGTGAGAACAGACTGTGATGAATACATATGGATCAGGAATAGTGATCCTGATTCAATAAGAACCAAGGATGGCAAGCGAGATCTATTTTGAATACCGAAGAGCTAACTAATCTGCGGGATCGAGGTTGATGAAGACGCAAAGACGATGAACTATGATAGTGTTATGCAAGAGAGGCTACGTTCGTGACAGAAAATACAGTGAGAGGTCAGCCTAGGGAGTGTTTGCATTATCCACTTGTGCACCACAAAATAATCAGTGAGAAGTTAGGTCTGAATAAAGAAGGGCGTACAAGTCAATTGATGCACTGTAGTCGGTGTTCGTACAGATAATCGAAGCCATCGTGAAGGAACAGACAAAATTCAGTTCAAACTTCAAAGGCTTTGCTAATTTAATAGCCATGAATTCTGAATTCACAGATAGATGTGCGTCCAGTGGAGCATGGAATGTCGTTAAATTTTCCATCCGCAGTTATAACCAGACAGTCTTCGTTGTGGACGTTGTTTGGTTCATGGGTACGGAAATTGTTGATCGCCGCTGGGTGTCCGTTGTTGTCGACAAACTTACCCTCCTCCTCAACATCATTATATCCAATATAGGCAGCATGACGCGATTGAAGCAGGGGACGAACGAAGTTCTCCAGGACAATGAATTCCTTCATGTTGAGTGGCGCTGCCAGTTCTCCACCATTGCGCTGGCAGTTCTTGATAGCATTTTCGCGGTTCATAGGAATTGCTTCGAAACGGTAGATGAGGAGACCATACTCTGAGTTTCCGCAGCACTCCACTGAGGTTGGAGCTGTGTTCGACGTCGACCGTTTTCCTGCATGCAGCATAGCCAGTCTGGTGTCTTCAACACTTGCAATGTCTTCATTGCCAAGGGAATGTTGCTCGTCAACCTTTACAGCATCATCCACGCTTTCAAGGCCATCAGCATCTTCATACGAATCGGGAAACGTTTGGGAGTTCCTCAGCGAGGGAAGGCTGGACACCGCTGTCATGAATGTCATACACAATGCGAGAGCCAATGAAAAACGAAACATGATTTCTTTCTTGGTTCGAGAACAAACTGTTCCTTCGTATTATTGAACGGAGAAAGGGAAATACTGTTTTGATGATCGACTTCTGAAGATTACTCGCGTTAGGTCGCTTCTTTATATTATACTCTCTCCACACCATGTACACTTGTGCGCATGTCATGCACGCAACAGTGGCGACGTTTAGCTCACAAACTGTACATGCCTGCAATCTCCTTTTCATTTCGCGGCAATTGTACACAATACATGATGAGGTCCCGAGTTCGAGATCCGCGCTGGTAAAAAGACTCTTTACGCGGGTTGAACTGCGCCCACACTCACAGTCAACTGGGTACTCACAGCTCGGAGTATGGATAACAAGGATGCAGTTTACAGGGTTATTGGCTGTTAGGGTTGGTTCACATAAGCAAAATCGGCGCCTCAAGACATTGCAAGACATTGGCGGTGAGCCAGCTCCCGTTCCGTTGCGCATACGGTTCGGTTTACAGGGTTATTGGGCTGTCAGGGATGGTTCACATAAGCAAAATCGGCGCCGCAAGACCTCGCAAGACATCGGCGGTGAGCCAGCTCCCGATCCGTTGCGCATACGGTTCGAGTACCAAATCTACTACGAAGTAAAGTAGTACAGAAAGTGTCCAAATGCTACGACAGGTTTGCCAATTGAAGCTTGAATTCTTTGTTTCTTTAGTAGTTCAAGGTCTTTCGGTGATGGCCACTGGTTGCTACCTTTTACTGGAGATCAGGAAACTACTTCTACCCATTTTATTGCAGTCTAGTAAGCAATGGCGTCGAAATTATGCATGCAAACGTTGATGAAGGCACAAGAACTTGCCAATGTATCCATCGTATTTTTTATTTGTTTTAATTATAGGTTAGTGCATGGCAGGGAGGGCCTTACGGCTTGTTAGTGCCCGACAGGTTAGCCTGAGGGCCGTAGGCCCGAGGGCTACCCTGAAGGGCACAAACAAGCCATAAGGCCCTCCCTGCCATGCACTAACTATTTTAGAACGAGGTTACATGCATTATCTCACTTCCATTATGCGTGTGTACCACTATATCGGGTAGTTTTGTGGTTTGTGTGCAGAGAGACTTGGTGTGGTATGAAAGAATATTTTCTTCTGGAAAGTTATGGTAACTCAGCACCACTTAGGACTACTAAAAGTAGAATGGAAGCAAATGAAATGCTGGGCTCTTATTGCGAGCTTCATTCTTATTCATACATGTAGCTTGTGGAGCTATTTTGGGGGCTTTGAGAGCCCCTTGTCGATAACTCTAATGACTTTGATCTTCGGTTTTTATAGGTTTCCGCAAGCTGTTGACAAAGAAAATTCGTACAGGTGAAAGAATACGGGAGGAAAAACCGTACACACTTCTGAATTGCGTAGCTTTTAGTAGTACACCGTACACGTTATGCAGAGTTCATTATCTCCACCGTACTATTATGCATACAGGGAGTTGTACGCACCAGTTTAGAGTATATTCAGCGGGCTTTAAACTAACCCAAGGCCCTCGACGCGTCATATGGCAGCGAGTTTCTATGGCTTTTGGATCCGCGCGTTTTTTACGCAACCTTTCACATCCGCGGACAGACACAGGCGGTACTACATGTCATATACCGTATTATCTCTAATAAGCACGGTGCTGTATTTTTTCAATGTACCTCCGCCCCGTGCTATTAACATGATTAATGGAGACGTTCCTTTATTGGAGACTGTTCCATTATTATTTTCAACCTCATTTCAGAGGCATGTTGCCATGCCAAATTCATGTACGACACACACATTTCAGGGTTTTTTTCGCCGGTACAGATAATGAATTTACGCAGTGTGCTTATAATGGAGACTGAGCACTTCATTTTTTGAATGCCGCCCCAAGGTGTTCTATTATTGGAGACGTGCTATTATTGGAGACTGTGCTTATATTAGAGATAATACGGTACAGCAGAAGATGTCACTCACTATTCTGCAGGTGCTCTGGTGACTGGCGCATGCAAGTTCACGAGAAGGCGGTCTGATGGTAACTGGAATGCCAGCAGTATGAGAGGATGTGCATTCTGCGGCGGATCTCACCTGGACCTGAGCTGCACGAAATACACAACAGTAGCACAGCGGAAAGAATAACTGATTGAACAGAAGCTTTG